TATGCACAAAACAATTAACTTTTCACTTGAATAAACTGCATCTCAGAACACAGCGTTTTTTCATAACTGCTTCAGACTTTGTTTGGGAAGTTATGCAGAATTTTACTGACAAACACACCAAAACCAACAAACACCCAAATAAAAACAAGCAAACAAACAAAACCTGTTGCAATCCAGGCTTAAATTGAGTCAAGTGTCTGAGCAGGGTTTTTGCACAAATTCAAACCAAGCCTGCTCAAAAGTACTCTTTCAACTGGTCTACCTTTTTTGAACCAGACTTAGCTTAGAAATCATAGTAGCACAACTGGTTTAAAGTAGCCAGAGAAGGAAGGATATATTTCAGCTACTGACAATCTGGAGGCCACGATCATTCCTCTCTAACTACCTATAACTTCAGGACTGAGTTTTGCAACAGTCTATCCAATGCTACCCTTCAAAAAAATCTTAGTACATTCAGCTAGTGCAGAATACAACCAAAGGCACTGCACACATGGATCCACATTCCATATTAGATGCTGGCCATTTACTTTTTACCAGGATTCAGAGTTTTTCCCTTTTTTTGAGTTATGCCATAAAGCAGTGGTCTCCAACCTTTTTAAGCAGGAGATCACCTTTGGCATTTAAAAGCAACCCAAGGTCTACCATGTGCCGCCACCAACCCCTATGCCCAGCAGGTAAATCTGTGGGGAGGGAAGGGGGGGCAGATCAAGGCAGAGGGAGAAAAAATTATTTGGAGGCGTGCCTCTCCAGCAGGTAAGTCCCACCTAGCCAGGGCCCCACTCAACTTACCCCTGCTCCTGCCTCTGCAACACTGTCCCTCACCATTGGGGCCTCAATCTAGCCCCTGCCCCTTCCCTCCCCATGGACTGACCTGCTGGGCTGGGGCAGGTATGCGGGCCCCCACCCCAGCCTTGGATCGACTCCAAGAGGCTCCAAGACCTACCAGTGGATTAAGATCCACTGGTTGGTGACCACTGCCATAGAGGGTCTAGTAACTACTTAGACTGAAGGATTGCTTTTTTCTTCTCAGGGAGCTTAGATGACTCTTCAGTTCCTGATGTTAAACTCTCAATGAGAAGATATTTTTGCCTGTCCAAAATTCAAATCTTTGCAGTGGTTCACATGAACTGGAGTTCAACATTCACCAAAACAGTCTGCATCTTACTGCTGCAGAACATTATCATTTATTTATTTCTAAATTAGGAAGATGTTTTGGGAAAGGGGGAAGAAGAGTTATAAAGTAGGGGAAGGAAAACTTGCTGCTATTTAGGCTGATTGCCTGTTGTTGTTGATTTTACATGTTGGTTAAAAGGCATGAAAATGCCTCTGGAGCCCCTCTGCCAATCAGCAGCAGGAGGCAAAAACCATGGCACATTTAAAACCTGTTTTTGCCTCCCAGCCAAGCAGGAGCAAGCAGCAGGACTGCCACAGCCACCCTGTCAATAGTCAGTGGTGGGGTAAGGCACACGGTGAAAAGAGCAAGATTAAAGGAGCTGCTGCACAGTGCACTTCAGGCACGATTTAGGTAGATCCCTACTTATAAAGCCTATGTTAGGATCACAAAAATCAAGTGTGTCCTTTGATCATTAGAACAGATAAGAAATTTCTCTTTGCACAGATTTTTAACCTCTTACCTGTATAATTGGAAATGGCAAATAGTTCATATTGTTAACAAGATACAGGAGACTGTAACTGTATCCCACGAAAGCTCCAAACAGCAGGAAGAAGAGGTGGTACTCATTTAGGCACACATACGAAACAACAGCATCTAGGCTAAAGTTAAAAAAAGGGGGTGGGGGAGAAAGAGGGGGAGTTATTCAGTTACTACTATCAATTACTACTACGGGTGCACCAATAAAGAGTTATTTGGCTGATACCGATATGCAGTCCGGCACATTGGCAAACAGTGTCTGGTCAGTAAGTCTGTGGGGGGCAAATCAAGGCTCCCATGGTGAGGGAGGGAGCGGGATAGGGGCCAGCGTTATAAAGCCAGGGTGGGGCAGGGGGTGAGCCGCAGGTGGCTTGTTTGGAAGTGGAGGGGACGTATGGGGGTCATATGTCCCCTGGATTTGTGCACAGAGTGAGGGCAGGCCAATTGCCAAAAATCTCAATTTCCCTTCTATCGGTGCTATCCAATATGGACAAATATATCAGCACACCTCTAAATTACTACTATAGAGATCATTCTGGTTTCCAGCTTCAGTTAATCAGAGTTTCATTTTTATTCATCTGATGAACAGAATGGAAATCTTCCCCAAATATTGTCCAGCACGGCAATTTTTATATAAGCTAAAAATCTTACCACCTATTTTTAGTATTTACAATCATAAGAGCCTTCATTTTTCTCCTGATGAATTGTTTAGGTCTGAAGACCCAGGTTCTTAAGTCACTGATATTTTCAGTGCTGAATATACCTTCTCTTATTCATCCTCACAACTTCTTCATTTCAAGGCTTCTGGTCAAGTTTCCCTGCCATATTTCTTGTAAACTAGCCCTGTGAACTTCACAAAAGGATGACAAAGGCGGTGGCTGCTTCCCCCTCCCTCCCCCAGCTGATAACATTTTTTTCAGAGAAAAATAATGGTTCTGTTAACTAGTAGATGTTGAAATTTGATGCCTCTCCAATAGTAAACAGATTTTAGGACAACGTAATGCTCTTTGCATAGTACTTAATTAATGAAGCAGTCACCTTTCTGAAGTTGTGCAGGGTAGAGCAAGAAACTGGAACCTCCCCTTTGTTATAACTGCTGCACACCAGGCCACCAGCATTCCCATTATTGCATGAACAACAGAATGGATAACTTGCTGTGGGTGAATAATCTTTCCTATCAGCGCTAATCGAGAGCAGGGAATTGAAGGTGCAACTGTAAATGAAAACCAAGAGGGAATTATGACCACCTGCCATTAAAATGAAATACTACATCTGTGCTAGCTGCCTTTGGTAGCAGAGAAAGTTTTACAGTGGAACTAGTCACTGAGAGAGATGCACAGCACACCCTTGACAGGTTCTCCATTCAGTTCAACATTCTTCAGGAGCTTCTCCCAACACAGTCTAGTGTGAGCTCTGGAATAAAGGCAGTTAACACCTCTGCCATTCACCCCACCTTTTCCCTGATTTTAGCTGCCAGGGATGACTAAAACCCCCAATGTTGGCACTGATTAAGAAGGAGGGGGGAGGGAGGAGAGGGAAGGGAGCAGCATGTACCCCCAGAGTTTCAGAGCCATGCTGCAGCAATTAACACTGCTGCTGCAGGGGGTCCAGCAGCCTCAGGTGATGAGCCCTGAGAGCAGATCTGGTTCCCACTTGACACCCTTGTGCTAATACCTTGCTGATTTTACTCAATTGCAAGTGAACTGCTCAGGGCAGGTCTGTCCAACTTTTTGGCAACCAGGGGCTACATGAGCTGTGTGGAAACACACCCCGCATGGGCCACACCAATGCAATCACTGGCCCCCTGGGATCACTGGCCCATCCTGTGTGGATGTCCCCTCCTCGCCCCTTGCTGCAGAGCCTGTGAAGATGCCCTAGCCTCACCCCTCAGCTCCCTAGCTGCGGGCTCCCCTGGAGCCAGGGCAGGAAGTGAATGATGGAGGGAGGAGGAGCCTAGGGACCCCCAGATGCTGTTCCTACAGCCAGAGTAATGGGGAAAGTGGCAGGCGAGTAAGAGCCCGGGAGCCACTGGTCTCCCAATTCGATCTGGATTTGGTGATTTGGCCTCTGAATTGGGTCAAATCTTCTCTGAATCGAATCAGCAACCGAAGCTTCACACACCCCTAATTTTAAGGTATGTTTGATTTTTTTATTTAGTATTTTCTTTTATTTAGTATTAGTATTAGTGGTGGCAGTGGTCACCAATTTTCTAATTTTTTAGTATTTATTTTAGTATTTTCTGACCATGGTGAAGCCAGCTTGCCAGTTTTTTCTTTGAGTCCCTGCAACATTCCAACAGAGATAAAATATACGTACTTTTAAGTTTAAAAAAGTATTCAACTTTATATTATAAATATCAATGCAGAGTTCACAATGCCAATAAAGAGTTTAAATAACTTGTCTTTATAATAGTCGTTCAATTTAGCTACAGTCAAATATCTTACAGCAAATATAAAACTCACCTGCATAAAATTCAACATTGAAGATGCTTATTACCAGTATCACTACAGACATTAGAAGGATGCAGAAAATGGTGTAGGAAGTATACAAATCATTGAAAGAGTCTATAACGAAAAAAGACCCCAACATTAACAGGTTACTGATGAGATGCATACAATACATTCCAAAGCTACAGAATTAGCTAAAGTTAGCTAAAGATTTGACAATGATGAAAGCATACAACTTCATACTTTACTTTAGAAATGTTTCTGTTTGACAGGGATTTCTAATACAGCCGAAGTATTGCAGTTTCCTTTTCAGTATCACCACCCACAACCATACCAAAAAAAATCTGTACTCTGAAAATTAGGAAGAGTCATAATTTGCTCTGGTGGTTGTTTGGTGATCTGTCCCCTCCTCCCCTTTTTTTTTTTTTGTTGCAGGGAAAGGAAAGACACCCCTCTCCCCCAAAACAATGAATGTCACAGCTACCAGACTTCCTAGCTAATGCATACCAGAAACTGTCAAAACTGTTCATTATGGATATAGCTATTGTGGAGTTGTTAAATTTAACTTGGACCAAATGTTATGCTGAAGATGTATTTATATCAATTTTAGAAAAATATTTCTATTTAAAGGAAATACACGTCTACTGGCATTATAAATAAGATTATAACTGAAAGGTTAAAAAGTTTCTTTCAGTTTTACATTGTGAATTAAATAATATTTGGTGAACAGGCTGTCATTCTTCCTTTCTCCAACTGGGTGATTCACAAGCAAAGAGAAAAAAAATTATACAGATGCGACTATGACGTAGTATTATTATCTCTGTCATTTTGCAGTAGCAGGTATATTTCACATGAAGTTACCTTGGAAACTTACAGGATTGAGTTGTCAGTGTCACTGTTTATTTGTGTGATTTAGATGTTACCCTTCCAAACAAAGGCTCAGGGTAGGTAACAAATCAGAGAAACATAACTTAAAATGGACAACTAGCAATATCATGCAAATATCATATCACATCACATAACAGAGACTGAGTAAACAACATCTCAGCCTAGCTACGGCTGCTAAATGCCTCAGGAGGGCAGGAGTTCCAGAGCTGAGAAGCAACTGCTGAGAACCGTCTCGTTGCCAAGCTCAACGTCCTTTCAGAAAACAGACGGTTTAAACTATATATAGAAAAGGATTGCAAATTGTTTATGCAAATGAAAATCTTTACTTGGGCATTCCTTGGCAGAGATGAACTGAAAATCATCACTGCTGCATGACAGCCAGAAAGCAAAACCAAAGAAGAGAGGAAGCTGATAGTCTAATTTCACTATCCAAACTATGTAATGCAAGTACAAAAACAGCACAACACAGGGAGAATTTTCTTAGTCTTCTGGTATTTAGCAGTTCACAAGAGTGCTTATAGGAGGCAATTTCGAGCCAAATTTGCATGTACACAGAGCACAGAGCTGCCTCAACACAAGAGAAATTCTTTGCCCAGGACAGCCTTCCATCACCCCCCCCTCCTGTGAAATATGGTACAGCATAACAAGAAGGAAACATAATTCAACATCCTGCTTGCCATCAGACAACTTTGAGGTGGATAGACCGCTCTAACTTTTATCGGAGGCTAATTTGCACAAAATGAACTTTTCCAACCAGGAGATCTTATAACACCTTCAGCTCTCCTGTGAAATATGAATTTTCATTTCCACCCAGGAGAAATTTTACAATTTTTGCATTCTCCTATGCCTGAAGAAGGGCAAGTATGCCCAAAAGCTGGCAAATAAAGAATTTTTTTGCAAATATCTAGTTGGTCTAATAAAAGATACCACCTCTACCCAGAGCTCTGATCCCTATAGGTGTGAGACCTTGCCTCCTATAATCTCCCATCCCTCCGATCCTCAGGGCCATGCATTTGCATTTTCGCAATGCACTTTGCGTATTGGCTTCTGTTCTACCCAGGAAAGCTCACAAACGCCAATAGACTCTCCCCAAGCCTGAAAAAGGGGTGTTTGTGCCTCAAAACCTGCAAAGAACACTTTTTCCAGCTACAGCATAACCCAGGGGTGGGCACTTATTTTGGGTGGAGGGCCGTTTACTGAGTTTTGGCAAGACATCAAGGGCCGCATGACAGGCAGCCAGGGGCAGATGTATATTCATTTTCTAAATTTTTTAGGGGACCCGCGGGCCAGATAGAATGGGCCAGATAGAATGGCTTGGTGGGCCGCATTTTGCCTGCCCCTGGTATAACCTCACGAATTCGGCACGCTCAGGACTGCGCACCTGCCGGAAACTTGAATTTTTGAAGCCGGAGCAGCATCCAGTCCCGAAGCAGGGTGGCAGATGGCGGTGGCAACAACCGCTGCGTGCAAACTACCCCCCTGTTGCTCTGGGACCGGCCACCATGACTCCCCAACGTGGTGTATTTTTAAAAAGTGCTGGGTTTTCAAGAATCCCAGATTTCTGACATCTAGATTTGAGGCTATACTGTATTTAGTTGGTCTTTCTTGTAACGTCTTTCAAGCCGTGGCTCACGACCCAGAAGTGGGTCGCAAGGATATACGAAAGGGTCGCGAACACACTTTAAAAACGGATTCTCCTTTAAAGGAGATAAATGCGGGAGACCGTGGGTTTTCCCTTCCCTTTTTCCAACCTGCAAGGGGCTGCTTGGGCCCCCCACACATGGTTTCCCATTAAAAA